CTTGTTTGTTATTCTTCTTCTCTTTTGTTGTTCTTGATAATTACTTGTTATTACCATCATTATCATATTGTGGGTTTGTTCATCAATCTTGAGATCAAGATTGAAAGGAATTCTTCATAGGGTGTGAGGTGAATTTCCAACCTAATATACTCTAGTATGGCTCTTAGAAGAATTAAAGTGAATTTTAATCACCAAGGTGTTGATGTTACTTTATAAAGTGGCTCTTAGAAGAATTAAGTTGAATTTTAATCACCAAGGTGTTGATGTTACTTTATAAAGCAATTAAGATAATCACAAAATTTGAACTTATCATATAAGGTCAAAGTATGCCCATGAAATTCTAAGATAAAACCAATAAAAATTTAAAGATAAACAAAAAATAAATAAGTAAAGAAAAACACTCATAGAGAAATATCAAACAAGACAGTTTGACGATGATGTAAGAAAAAGATAAAGATACACATGATTAAAACTATAAAAAAAAAAATTGATATCGTATAACCAATGAATCTCTCTATTAAAAATATATGTTAAAATAGTGATAAATTGTGTACAATTGAATGGTGGTGAAACAAAAAGAATTTTTGTAAAGACACCACAAACAACTTTTCTACACTTGTCGGATCAAATGCCTCTAATAAAAGTTTTGCAAAAATTCATCAAAATTGTCACCATACACTCGATCTTATGAAAGAATTTAACACATTCACAAAATTGGACATCAACATATTCGTACAATTCATTAAAAATCAAAAATCAAGGATCAATGACTCAAATGACATTCAAGAACATGAACAAATCATAATTATGGCCTAATGATACCAATTGATGTGAACCAAAAAGAAAGGTTCGAGATTAAGATTTTTTCCATGATTGAGTTTAATATTTTTCAAACTATTCAAGAATTACCCTAAAATACAAACAAGAATCAAGAAGAAAATGAAAAAACTTACATAAGTGAATTACACTAATAAATAAAATTGAGATGAATGATCGTTACTTCAATGAGAAAGGTTAAAATGCAATCACACAAGAGATTTGAAAAGCCTCTTAATATGATTCACAATGATTCAACAAAAAGTGATCCCCACAAGAAATTTAAAAAGCTTCTTGATAAGATTACAATAACTCAACCAAAAACTCAAAGAAATTCTTTACCTCACACATATCTATTTGGGATATCTTAGCTTTACTTATAGAAATTGTAATTCTTGATATCATTAGTTTTCTTGGAGATTCTCATGATTTATGATGCAACAAATTATGAAATATGTTTTCTTTTATTTTTTATTATGATATATGCCTTCTTTTATTTCTAATATGACATATTCCTTCTGGTTTTTAAATATAAACAACTTTATAAAAGTCCATCCTTTAAAAAAATGTTCGAATACATTTAAATCTTAATTTCTTTCTAATTTTACTCCTACTCATTACTTTGAAAATCATTAAAAACATGAAATGATGGGAAAAAAATAGAAATATATTTAAAATAGTAACATTAAATATAACAATTATGAATATCTTTTGTTTATATTTAAGACTATTTAATTTTTTTCTTATATTTGAGACACAAGAGAGTATTATACTTGTGAAAAACGGTTCCTTGTATATACAAAGTAAAAAATATGCTTCCTTTTATTTTTATTATCAAATACTATACTTCTGAAAAACAGTTCCTCACTTCCTTGTATATATTTTAATGTACTCGTACCAGTTTTTTTATAATTAAAAACTTAAATTAAATTAAATTAAAAATAAAAATAAAAATAAAAACCTCGTATCATGTCCTCGTAGTACATGTTATTGGTATCAAATGTAAATATCGCAAACATAAATTATCATTAATAATGCCAAAAGTGCAAGGTGAAACATGTTGATTTATAAGTTACGCACATTATTAAAAATTAAAAATTAAATTAATTATAATTATGTACCGCAATTTTGACACATTAGCAACTAACTTTTAAAATTGTCTTTGTTATCTTATCAAGAAAAAGTACACTATTATTTAACTTGACAACTGAGACAATGACCATCAATCAAATAAGTTTTAATACAACTCCCATCTCAAGTTGGGGATCAAAGTCAAATACTCTTAAAAAATAGATTAAAAAAAGTCAAGTACTCCTGTCAGTTGTTAATTGGAAGCTAAGTAGTCTAGATTAAGACACCATTGAAATATTTTCTAATGAAGTGGCAATCAGATCTGTAGCAAATTGTATTGCTAGAAATCAGATTCATCTTAAATTTTTGAAGTTTGAAGATCTTGGGTATCATCAGTGTAACCATAATAAACAAAAAAAAGTCCCTATTTAACCACAATTTTCCTATAAAAAATATTTATGAAGCCTTTTCTAGTCACAATTTAATCTTAACAAATTTTAGAACATATACGGTAGTCCGACTTGCACGCTCTCAAAGATCTGCTAGAAATAATAACATACTTGGACCTTTTTTTTGGTCAAAACAGACTTGGATTTAAATTCAAATAAACTTTACCAAACAGTTTTACATGGATTAATCTAAACAGTCTCACATGGATTAATCTAAACAGTCTCACATGGATTAATATGATAAACTCAAACAAATTAGTCCAAATAAGTCCTATAATTATCGGCCATTAATCACGTCCTGCAGTGGACAGGCAAATAATGTTAGGTCAGAAGCTACCGTATCACCACCACTGAAATACTCCGTGGAATTTATGGCACAACTGTGTTGAAAAGTTGAACCATACACCATATATTCTTCTAATTTGATTCCATTAAAAGGTAATATAAAGTTTACTGCATGCATACTATAAATGACCCTGCAATAACCCCCAAGGGTTGGCCTAGTGGTGGAGGTTTGGGTATTGAAAGTGTGCTCCTCTCAAAGTCTCAAGTTCGAATCCTAATAGGTACAATCAATCCTTGTGTGGGACACTCTAGCCAGAGCAAAGCCCTAGCTTTAAACGGAGCCTCCGCTAGTTGACGGTGGGATTGGTCCCTCTTGGATTAGTCGGTCGCAAGGCCGAATACCAGGATTTCCAAAAAAAAATAAATGACCCAGCAATAACATTAACAATGTAAATAGAGAAGCTGACTGTCAAGTCAGCTCATGACAACAAATCCCACCTGCAGGAAGTTCACATTCCTCACTCAAAAAGTTGTTTAAAAAATACTTAAAATCAAAGACATTATCATATCTAATCTTGATGACAAATTGTAGGAAGACAGAAAACATAGACCGCCAATTGAAAAATGAATCATACTACAGTCCACATTGTGTGTGAACAGGGAAAATGAAGGATAGAAGTTACTGGTACTACAAACAGAGGCAACATAGGAAGGACAGAATATTGACTGCAAAATGAAGTGCTATTCTCAACAAGAAAAGGGCCAATTTTCCCCATAAAATAAGTGCCTGGCAATAAGAGTGGCAGACACCATGTGGGCTGGAGATTGAAGGAAATGGGCAACTGGTGTTTGTCTGAGGTAAAGACCTAAAGGGTTCCTAACCCTCAAATGATTTCTGAAAATGGCTGAGTTTGCTATAGCAGTCAGGAAACTTTGCTAAAGCAAGATGGCCACTCTATGCTGCCAATGAATATTTACTTTAGAATTTCTAGTATTTTTAACAGCTAAAGCCAATAGGAGAATTTCTACTTCTATAACCAGTTGCCAATGATTCCAATAATATCAAAAACTTGGTATGAATCCAGCATGCAAATCATTATGCAGTCACCTGCCTATTGTAGTTACTGTTAGTATTGCCGCATCGTGATTCATCAATATAACCACAATAAAGGGCTGTGAAAGAAACTGGTACTGAACTAGTAATTTGCACAATACAAACACTTTTTTAATACTAATTCTGCCCAATGATTGACAGGCAGAATATTACCCGCTCAGATATTACAATAATGATAGGAAGATTACAACAAAATTACAAGAACACAAACACACCAAGATTCAAGAGTTTGGTTCTCTTCCCTTCCCAAATGTAGACTTTTGATCTCTACCACTAACCAATCAACAACTCCAAGATAACCCGATATGTCTTGCCCTACTACTATTTATTGAACATAACAGCCTACATAACTTACACAAATAATTAATTATTAACACATAACTGACAGAAAAATAAAACATAACTGACCTAAAATAACTACTTGACAGCAGTGTTATCAGATATCCGCACTATGGTGAATATATATGTTGATTATATGCTCGCCGCAAAGGTAAATATCCGCCGATATTGAGGGTTTTCCGCCATAATCCACTATAACAGTGCCTTAAAGTGCCCGGTATTTCGGCTCTCCGCCATCTGCCATGGACAACACTACTTGACAGAACCGAAACTGCTAAACTTAGTCTCAGTTCCTAGTAATTCTTAATAGGCTGCCAGAGTCAACACATGTGCTTTGATACTAATTCTCCTCGCAACTTATTTCTAGGTAGGTCTATCCGCCTTATAATCAAGATGGTGTATCTAACTAAATACAGCACAAACACTGAGAAGTGTAGGCAAAGTTTATTTTCAAAAAAGCAGCAACAAGAAATAAAATATGCATCACGGCCAGATCAATAGCCCACAAATGCAGACTTATATTCCAGCAACATCCATACATGATCCCAATTCCCAACTAAGTTGGATTCCAAATCTCATGCTTTTAAAGTAAAATAAAGGTTCTGGATTGACAAAATCAGACCATGTAAACTATTAAAATATAGCTCATAACCAGTGAGAAGTGCTAATACACAGACAAGAACAAACAAAGCTAGTATTGTTCTTATCTAACAATTACCGGAAAATACAGTTTCATGGAACAATATTATGTGTACAAAAAAGAAGCAAAAGCCACCCTTAGATATCCACTCAATTAAATTTAAAATGCTCATCCAGTACACGATTTTATTCAAGCATACGACATTGCATTAATAGCAAGAGAAATTACAAAGCAAAGGATAGAAAAATTACAACATGTTTCAATTCAATAAGAAGAATCCTTCTGATTAGCTTGCTGCCGCAGCAATTCTTCTCTGACCCTTCTGATCTCCGCTTCCTTCTCCAACCTCTCTTGCTGCAACACATTATAACAAGTAAATAACATTAAATATTGCTCAAATATTCATAATGAATACGAATATACGAAATGAAATCATCAGAGACGAATCACGACGAAATCTAGGGTTTTCACTTTTTCCCTTTTTCCGAGGGAAAGTCAAATTAGAACAACAAAAATAATGAAATTGAATATGAAAACTGAAAGAAGGTGAATAATAGGAATTGAATTTTGATTTTAAAGATGAAGAAAAGTGAGAAGAATGGGGAAAGAACCTTTTCGTCTTGACGAAGAGCGATCCAGACATGGACCTTGTCCATGGATTGCCAGAAAACGAAAGCTGCTAAGGACATGCCGAAGTACGTTGCCACTTTCACCATTCTTGAATCCTTTTCTGCTTCCTTCGTTACTTCGATTCAGTTTCAGAAGAACCAATTTCCTTTTTCTTTTCCACTGCTTCGTTAAGATGGGAAGGGAAGATGAATTGTGAAACAGTTTCATTGGGCTCGAACTTTCGGTGTGGCCCATTCAAAAGAACCAACTCGGCCCATTATTTTCATATGGACTGGATAACCAGTTTTGGACACGGCTATTTGCACAGTCATTTTTATTTGTAGAGAATTTTGTATTACACCCTATGTGTTTCTTAGACATTATACGAATTTTCTATATTGTCTCTAGTTTTCGGAGATATATCTTCGGACGTACCCTTTTCACACTCAAAGAAGATCGTTCTGGATGGCACTCCATGCAGTTGCTAAAGATTTATTTCGGAGATATATTTTCGGAACCATACCGTAGTTATATTTCTGAAACAGAACCAAAGACAGTAATCAACACATGATGAACTTTCGAAACATAAAATGAGCATTCATAACATAAAATGAGCATTACAATGATGATTTCAACATAAAATTAAATACTACATTTCAATATTCCAGTGGACGCTTGCACATCTACAAGATATCGTCGACCAATCTTCGCATTGTCGCTTCCAACTCAAGCGGAACTTTCTCTTCGAAACCGAAAACGTTCGCCACATCGGCATAACATCCGCTCGAGTCTTGAGCTCAAATTTTTTGAACACAATGTTTCATTCGTTGTCAACCGAGGGTGAACGGTCCTTAAACTTGACAATCATTCGTGTGTCTCCGTAAGGTATGAGATAGTGAATTTCATCTATGTATCGTCGAGGGGTGATATCGGTGAGCTTAAACGTCCTCCTGGGTGTAGAGGCGCAGGAGTAGGAGACACTTGCGACATACCAACGAATGTTTATTTCACACAATTTAGACATTTTAAGTTTTTGTAAAGTATAACACAAGACACCTAAATTTATAGAAGACCTAGTTCAATAAGGACCACTCATTGACTGTCATTCATACTTCCAGAGATATATCTCCGGACAATATGACATGCAAAGGTGACAGGAAAATTTAAATTGTCGCTCACATCTTCCGGAGATATATTTTTGGAACATCCACTGAACTGATTAATTTTCAAGTTTTCTCTAAATCTTTAGCAACTGCATGGGGCGCCATTCAGAATGGTTTTCCTTGAGTGTGAAAAGGGTGCGTCCGGAGATATATCTCCGAAAACTAAGTGCATTATAGAAAATCTACATGGTGTCTAATAAATACATAGTGTGGCTTAAGAAATTCTCTACTTGTAAATAACATTAATTTAGTCTTAAATTTACATTATCGCTCCAACTTAATCTTTAAACTATTTTGTTATAAACTAAAAGAAAATGATCAAAGTTTAAAGAAAAAAATCAAAATATTTCTAGTATCATATTTCACCAGTATAACACTATATGTTTTATTAATAAGATACTAGTAACAACTACAACAACTAAGTCTTATTTTACTAGATAAAATCGGCTACATGAATTAATTTTCGTCATAATGTTCTATGATAAGTATAAGACATAAAAATTAAAAATTATAATATATATAAATTAATATCCATAACTAGATAAAGTTTATTAGGAGATAAAAAGACAAGAATTTAATATTCATTATCCATAACCCTTCTCCTTTGATGTTTGTTGAGAATATATTTTGTTAAGACTTTATTAGAAAAAACTCAATGGAAAAAAAATCTAGTGAGAGAAAAAAAAAGTATAATATATTTTTAAGATAAATTTAATTCTCTCACCCAATTATACAATTATTTCTTCTACAATCAATCTCAATGTACTAGTTGGTTGAAAGTACCACTTGAGAGTGATTTTGTGAAAATGTCTCCTAGATTATCACATGAGTGAACGTTTTAGATACTTATATTACCACTTTTCTGAAGATCGTGAGTGAAAAATAACTTTGAAGAAATGTGTTATTTTCAGTATCCTTTAATGTAAACATCTTTTAATTTAGCGATGCATGCAATATTATCTTGATATGTGGTTGTTGTGTTTATTTTTTCAGTAGACAGATCGCACGTCGGTTGTATTTGTTTGAATAGGGATCTCAATCAAATGCTTTCTCAATTTGTCTCATGTAGTGCTAAAATTTATGCATGATTTAATGAAGTTATTGTTATGGTTTGTTTCATATATCTAACAAGTAACCTACATCTGAATAGCCTATTAATTATAATCTTGATACTTTAGAATATACAAACCATGTTCATTGAACCCCTAAGATAACATAGTATATTTTTAACTATGTTCCAATGTATTCCTGTAGGTGAAGAACTATATTTTTCTAATAGATTGACAGTAAATGATATACTAGGATATGTTTAATTAGTCAGATACATTGTTGTTCCAACAACAATGAGATATGGTACTTCAGAACCAAGTAATTTCTCATCCCTTTATCTAGGTCTGGAAGTATCTTTCTCCATATCCAAGAATCTAACAACCATTGGAGTAAACAACTGGTGAGATTTGTCCATATAATAAAGCTTTAACATTTTTCTATACAATTTCTTGATGTATAAATATTTCATTGTCTGAATGCTCAGTTTGTAAACCTATTCATAACTTTATCTTTTCTAGATTTTTCACCTCAAACTCTTTCTTTAAGCAATTTTATAGCTTTTAGAAGCTTTCAGAAGATTCAATGGTATTTATGTCATTTACGTTGACAATTATTATAGCAAAATATTTTCCATATTTTTTCCTAAAAATACAAAGACAAATGGAGTTATTTGTATATCTCCACTTAGCAAATATTTAGTAAGACGATTATACCACACATGTTCGTATTATTTTATCACATAGATATAGACTTGTTTAATTTGATGGAGTAGCCTTTTCAATATCTAAAATTATGTGCCTCGAGTATATTAAACCATCATAGAGCTTCATGTAAATGTCATTATCAAGTTAATCATATAAATAAGTTGTTACAGCATTCATCACGTAAAAATTAAGTTCTTCAAATTCTATAAGTAAATATAGAAAAGTACTTGCATGCACTTCACGTGAATACGTTTCATCAAAATCAATCACAGGTTTTTACAAACATCCTTTAGCGACAAGTTGAACTTCATATCTCACAATTTCATTATTTCCATTTCATTTTTGCACTAAAATCCATTTGAATCCCACTCGCCTCATACTTAAATGTGTTCGGACTATAGGTCAAAAAATTGTCTCTTGTAAAATGAGTTTAATTCTACTTCAACTGCATATTTCTCTTTTGATCATACCTCACTTTGTCTACAGTTTCTAATAACGGTTGGTTCATGATCCTCTTTATCATTTAACACATTTAGTGTTATATTGTATTCACAAATATCATCAATGTCGACTTAGTGTTGGTTCCACTGTATTCCATTATGGATATAATTTTTCTAGATTTATTTATTTTCATGAACTCCGTGTACCTTATTAGTCTCTTCTGGTGATAAAATGTTTATTATGTTTGAAGAATATTTTAGATTTTCTATATCCTTACTCGGGCCATATTTATTTAGTTCCCTTTATTGTTTGAGGATTTTTATCTTTGGAAACGATTGGTAGGCCACACTTAATGCATGGTTGAGACATATTAGATTTTCCAACAAGGACATCCATTTTTATTGGAGCATTAGTTGTTGGTATATATGTTTTAGTCACACTTTTTGGATCATTAAATGCATTTGGTAATTGATCCTCTTTATCATTTAACACATTTAGTGTTATATTATATGCACAAATATCATCAATGTCGACTTAGTGTTGGTTCCACTGTATTCCATTATGGATATAATTTTTCTAGATTTATTTATTTTCATGAACTCCGTGTACCTTATTAGTCTCTTCTGGTGATAAAATGTTTATTATGTTTGAAGAATATTTTAGATTTTCTATATCCTTACTCGGGCCATATTTATTTAGTTCCCTTTATTGTTTGAGGATTTTTATCTTTGGAAACGATTGGTAGGCCACACTTAATGCATGGTTGAGACATATTATATTTTCCAACAAGTTCATCTATTTTTATTGGAGCATTAGTTGTTGGTATATATATTTTAGTCACACTTTTTGGATCATTAAATTCATTTGGTAATTGATTTTCTAAGCTTTGCATGTGAATTATATTTTAAACTTCTGTTCACGATGTTTAGTTTGAATATCAAAATGGGATAGTGAAAATTCATTCCAACTGATATCTTTTTCAAGCTTCTTATTCTCTTCCTCTAATGCTAGGAAATTTGATTAATCAAAATGATAATCAGCAAATTGAGAGGTGAATAAATCTCGTGTTATTGGTTCAAATTTATAATAGATGGATATTCATATCGAACATATATTCCCTACCTCCTTTGAGGATCAACCTTTGTGCAGTGTGGTAAAGAAATTGGAACATGCACAATACATCCAAAGATTTTTAGATGGAAAACATTGGTTCTTGACATAAAAAACAAATTGTAAAAGAGAAGAAGTGTAATAACTTGTTGGCCTGATGCAAATTTATGTTGTAACATGCAAAATTTCATGTCCCCAAGTATAAATTTGGATTTGTTTCTCATGATAAGCGGTCTTGCAATTAATTTTATATGTTTAATAAATGATTTTGTAATTCTGTTTTATGTATAAACATGTGCTACTAGATGTTAAATGTCAACTTTAGTAGACATAGAATACTCATTAAATGCCTGAGATGAAAATTCTACAACATTATCACGACGTATTTTCGTGACAAGATAATTTGGAAAATGTGCTCTTATTCAAATTAGTTAATATAGAAATCTCATAATGATTGGTTACAAGTTGACAACAAACAAGCATATGATCATTTAGTTGATACATCAAATAAAATCATAAAATATTTAAATGGTCCACATCAACTAAAACCATACAACATTTAAATGGTCCACATGATAGATGTGAAAACAACCTTCATGTTGAATCATGGCAAATACGACTACAACCTTCATGTTGGTGACACCTATTAGTGTTTCATGGATGTTGTCAACACCCATCATATTGGGTGAAACTTGGAGGTATACATCGATGACATGATATTTAAGACTATCGAAGGGCGTAGTCATGCAGAGGACTTGGA